AATCCGGCCACTGTACTCTGCCTAAGCAGGCACTTTAGTCCGCTGAGCTATCTGACTGGCCCCCTAAAAAATCTTTTTTTTTTTTTTTTTTTTTGTGGAACCAGGGATTGAATTCAGGCCCTTGCACTTGCCAGGCTAGCGTTTATTCAACTGAACTATCTCCTCAACCCCTACAAATCATTTATTATTAAATGCATTTTTTTTTCCTAGCTAAAACACAGATTTTGAAACTCAGATCTTGGTTTTTTTCTTTCTTTTTTTTTTATTTTAGGGAAGGATCTACAAGGTGTTCAGGGTCTCACTACTAGATTGTATTTGTAGTGATCTGCCTGTTTACAGCCCCCCAAGAGCTAGACACCACCACGCCCAGTCTCAGCTGTCACTCTGGGGCCGGGGCTGGCATGGCAAGCCCAGGGATCGAACCCCTTGGCCCCTGCGCCTGCTTGCAGGGGCTCTAATCCGCTAAACTGTTTGGCCGACAGCCAAAATTTGAGAAAAAGTCTTTTTTTGGGGGGCGGAGGTGTGGGCAGATCTTGTTTTGAAACAAGAAAGATTCTTTTTTTTTTTAAGCATACTTCTGGGCCTGGCATATAGCTCAGTGGATAGCACCTGCCTGGCAAGAGGATGGTCCTGAGTTCAATTCCAGGAACATAAAAAAGAAGAAAGCTATTTCTATGTTAACAGTTTTTGCACATTTGTTGTGCAGGCATTGTCCTGAACACTTTGTACACATTATGTGCTGCTATTTTTTTTTTTCATTTTTGAGATGTGATTGAAGCACAGAGTGTTATAATAATTTGGCTAGGTGACTGTAGTTAGTAGAGAAGGACAGAGCATTTGAGCCCAGAAAATGCAGCCCTAAAGTTCATAATCACTAGCTTTACAGCAGTTTAAAATAGTATCATTATCTGCTTGCTCTTTACAGTATTCTACAAAACAAAGGAAAAACCTGATGTTTCCAAGATATCAATGTTAGAAAAAACAAGACACAAAGGTGGGCATCACTGTCCTAATAAACCAGACAACTAAATGCAAAGTATTATCAGAGCCAGAAAAAGCTATAATGGTCATTACTAGCATAATTGGGGGAAATGAAATATGGTCAGAATTTAAAGAATTTGTTGTT